GTGACCTTGGACAGGGACCTGGCCTCTCGGGTCACACGGAAGGTGAATAAGAAACTCCTGGAGGTTAGTGAGAATTGGATCTGAGAAGTGTCGCCCTGCATCCATCAGCTCTGGCGATGGTTCCCCAGGCGCTGCCCTGCTAGCCGCACCCAGGAGCCCACGAGGAGCGTGGGAGGACCTGTGGGGTGGCCAGCCTGCAGTGGGCACCGGGGAGGCCTGCAGTGGGCACTGGGGACGGTGGCCTGAGCTGCATCTGTGAAGATGGGAGGGAGGCTCCCCACTCCGTAGACATACCTCCCGTCTCCCCAGAGTCTGGCAGCGCCATCCCCTGACTGCAGCCTAGAAATAAGTCCGAGGTCAAGCTCCCCAGCAGGATGCCGCCGCAGCACAGCAACAGACTCCGGTCGCCGTCGCCCTGGAAGGCCCACTGAGGGCACACTACCCTTTCGCAGTTGCTGCACGTGTCACCATACCCTTCCCTGCAGGCGTATCTGTCCCCTCATGCCCACCTGGGACAGTGATTCCCTTTGAAAACACATCAAGGAAATAGGCACTCAGGAGCCGTTTCATGTCCAGGAAAACATTTCTGAAGCATGTTTAGGAAGACGTGGGCCAGTGGGCCTCAGCTCCGTGGGGTCCTGACAGTAAGTCGCCATGTGCTCCAGACGGGCCCAGTGCGGGTTCCCCAGGAGTACAGCCGAGGGCTGTCCCTGGACCCCGCGTCTTGGGGAGCCCAGGCCAAGGGGACAGAGAGCTGAGTAATGAGTCTGGGGTCCGGGCAGCAGGAACCACTCTGAGCCCTCTCTGACCCCCGTTCTGCTGGAGTGACCAGCCGTGTCCCTCTCTTGGCCCAGGAGACTCCGGGGACCTGCCCTCTCATTCTCTGTGCTCCAGCCACACCAGCTTCTTTGTGAGGCTCTGGAACATTCTAGAGGCTCCCCACTCAGGGCCTCCACACGGCAGAGCCCTGGGCCTGCAATGCTCTTCTCCGAGATCTGCCTGGCTTCCCGCTCCCCTCTGGGGCTGGCGGGTGTGGCGCTGAGTGGTCACTGGGCACCGGCAGTCTGGCGTAAAGAGAGATGCTGTCCGCACTGCCCTCCACCTGGAAGCAGACCCCAGGGCAGCAGGGAGAGAGCAGTGGGTTCAAACAAAGCCGAAGTCATTCAGCCGTCCTAAGGCGCGGCGCAGCCTCAGAAGCCACTTGAGCCTGCCAGCAGCAGGGGCCCCAGGTGGTGGCCATGGCTTGTGCAGACAGACTCTGCGGGAGGCAGGCTGGGCTGCCAGGGCATCTCTGCCATCCCCAGCGTGGGAGAGGGTGGCGGCGGCAGCAGGGCCGGGCGGTGGGACCGGCAGAGGCGGCGGCCTTTGGCATTTCCTGCAGGGCATTGTCCTGATGGCGGAGCCTGGTTATGGAATCATAGGCCCTGCAAACATGGGGCGCGGAGCTAGCAAGTTGGTGGCAGAATCAGGATGTTTAACTGTTTCACCAGGACTGAGTGAGGAGCGTGTTTACATCGCCGGCCATGGCTCTTTGAGGTATTTCAGCATCACTGTGTCCAGACCAGGTATTTTCCCAAACAGCGTCCAGAGAGCTTCCACAGTAGCCCACCCTCCTCACCTGGAGGCTCAGGAGCACGGTGAGCCCCGGGCATCACACTTGGTTTCCTCCCCAGACCCAGGAGCTCGCTCACGGCTGGCATTTCTGTGCACAAGCTGGGGCCCCCACGGCTGCCCTCACCCCGCCCAGCCTGGGTCATTCTCTCTCTTCTGTTCTGCATTCAGGAAACGGTCAAACCGAATGTCCTCTTTCCTGCCGAGCCTCTCAAGTGACAGTGTTCGGAGGGAGGAGGGACAGAGGGAGGAGCAGCCCCAGGGCCGGCTGTCACCCTGAGGGCCTCGGCAAGGCGCCTGCACGCAGACACAGCGGGCCTGCATCTGCCCGGGCCGAGGGTCGGGCCTTGACCCGTCAGCTCCACAGCCTGATCCCCCGTCTGGGTGGGGATGGGGACGCACTTGTGTGCTGAGACACGAGTCAGTGGGCAGGTGCCTGGACTTGCTCAGACCCCCGTGCAGTGTGCACACTAGGAAGCGTACGTCACGTACCCTCCTTCCCTCTCCCCCCTCCCCCCTCCTCCCCTCTCCCTCCTACCCCCACCCACTCCCCCTTCTGCCCCCACCCACCAGTAGAAAGCACTTTGCTTTGAATTGAACAGGCAGCTGCCCTGTGGTTGTAATTTCTTTGCGGGGTGACTGTTCCAACCTCAGAATGGCCCCACCGAGAGGCTCGGGAGTGGGGCAGGGGCGGGTCTGCTGAGTCCGAGGGGGGCCCCTGGACACACAGCAGATGTGCAAAGTCCAGTTCCTGAGCCGCCTCAGCCCCAGATAAAATAGTTTGTCACCCATAAAGGGGAACAAGGACCAGACTTGCTGTTAAATCCAGTTCTGTCTGGGCATTGAGTGCATTTGACCAGATAAGCTGCTGCCTGGTGCACATGGGCAACACCAGAAACTCACTGACCTGGGATGGACACACACATGTGATTAGTGGGTCCACTGGACAAGCTCAGAGCAGCCAGAGGGCTGAGGCAAGAGGCAGATGGGGGAAGAGCCCTGGGGAGCGGATGGCCACCATACTGTCTCCAAAAGGTGGGGGATGGGAGGCAGGGAGTTGGCCCTTGGGGTGAAGAGACCCCAGTTCCATGGCTCCAGGCTTGGGGGCGCCTTCCCTGAGGTACCGGCTGGACAAGACCCAGGCCCTTTGAGCCTGTGCACTTGACCTGGAAAACTAGCCAAGGCAGGGCGGTGCCCTGGTGAGGCCGCTGTGCAGCGGACTGGTTCCAGGCGAGAGGCCTTTCCTCGTGGCCAGCAAGGCCGGGGCCCCAGTCACCATGCGCTTGGGTAGCTGCCTCTCTGCCTTGATGTAATTTAAGCCCTAGCTAATTTTATTAAAAGTTTTAGTGCCCACTTTTCTGTAAAAGGAACCAAAATCATTCAGCCATAAGAATATTTGCTTTTGACCAATTCTAATTGAACTTAGAGCTGCCCAGTCTGGAAGGTATCCAGTGGTTCCGAGCAAAATATTTTGTTGAATGAACTATCGTCATTGAGTTCGCACCATTCCTATTAATCTTATTTCCAGTTACAATACAAGGCTTGTTTCCACACTTCTATTTTTAAGTAATGAAAATTTATTACAAAGGAATCCTAATTATACCCTTCGGAATACAATACAATTGCAAATCCACTGGTAATTTTCTTTTTTAAAAATTCCACATAATCACATAGGAAGCAAAGTAGGTTCTCCTGAAATAGTTGGTCTATAAATAAGATTCCCTAATGGGCTGAGCAAACATCGTTTTTTCTTTGCACATTTATTCAGGCTGGATCAATCCATGCTACAATCCCAGTGAGTGACAGTCCTTGTCAGACACAGAGCATCGTTATTCCCAGCACGTGCCCAGAATGGTAATGAACATATTCCACAGACGCTGACAGAGAAGCCACGCCCTTGGCTGGTATCAGGGGCAGGGCCTGGCCTCGGCCTGGCCACCGAGTGGGCGACCTTGACTTGTGTGCCTCTTCCTTCCCAGGTGTGGAGTTGTGCAGACGTGCCCCGTCATTCTGGGCACTTGAGGGTATTTAACAGCATCCCTGCCTCTACTCCTCGCCGTGGCCCCTCTCCAGGGGGTCGACCACAGGTGTCTTCAGACACTGCCAGGTGGCCCCCAGGAGCGGTCACCCTGCGTGCCAGCTGTGTGCTAGAGCTGTGTCAGAAAGCCAGGAAGTGTAACGGCGGGAGCAACTTAGCCACCCAGCTCCTAGGCTGAGGCTGGTTTCGCCAAGAGGCGGAGCAGCGCCGTGCTTTTTAAGTGCATTTCGCTGCTGTTCTTGCCTTCAGGGACTTAGGGTGCTGCCCAGTCCATGGGGGCCACTCGGTCCCAGCACTCCCCAGCAGACCTTTCTTCACAATTGGAGGCCCAACCTGAACTAAGTGCCATCAGCAATCGAAGCTTGTCTTAAACCACAGTCTGACGATGGGCTGACTTGCACCCGTCACTGTTACAGCCCCTGGTGGGGGGCCTGGGGATGGGCAGGGCCAGGCTCGGGCAAGGCCCCGCCGGGGGTTCTGTGCTGCAGGCCCATGTAGGTCCAGTCTGCGTGTCCGGGCCGAGAACAGCTGCCTCAGAGGGGACAGGAGTGGCGCCCCCTTTTCCCAGGGAGGCCAGGTTGGGGAGGGTGGGGGCGGCATGAGGGTAACCGTCTGCTTTTGGCCAAATGCTTTCTTTAGCAGCAATCGTCGAGAGATTTCAGAAGGAGGTTTCCAGGCTCTTCTGGAATAAGGTTTAGAGCCACAAAGAGGTTAAATAAAATAATGCAAGGTGACAAACTGGTTTAACAACGGTGGGCCTCCCCTCCGTGCAGCCCGGCGACCTGGCAGAGGGGCGTCTCTATGGTTCCCCAGGCAGGTGCCCAGCATAGCCACCGGGCTCCCTGCGCACCGAGCTCAGCTTAGCCCCAGGACAGAGTTTTCTGTACCCTGAGCACTGCATGCTTCCTGTAAACTGTCTTCCATGCATTTGTCTGAAACAAAAGCTTCTCTTAAATAAAATGAAAAAGTAAAAACAGAACCAGGTATGAGCACCTATCATTTATCCAAACAAAAAGGCTTTGCTCCTTTACGTTGAGTGACAACCACAACTGGCCAGTGAAACAGGGGCTCTCGGCTTCCTTCCCAGTGGGCCTCACACCCGCCCACCGCTACCTCCTCCTCGGCCAGTGCCCTTCTGCTTGGGGCTTCAGTCTCCATTCTGCCCCAAACGCAGCAAAGCAGTTTGCACCCCAAGAGCAAAAACCTCCACCCTCGCTGGGCTGACTGCACAGGTCTTAGTCTGTCCACAGAGAATGTCTGCTTCTTCAAGGGGACCCTGGAGGGCTTTTAAAGGTTGCAGGGAAATGCAGGTGGTCTGAGGAAGCATTTAACTGTGTCCTCTGCTCCACAGGACGGAGGGCCGCACCAGTCCTGGGCTGGAAGAGGCAGGGAGAGAGGACCAAGGCACCAAGCTGCTGCCGCCCCAGATCCTCCTGCCCCTGGAGGAGCGGGTGACCCACTTCCGAGACATGCTCCTGGAGAGAGGGGTAAGGGCCTGCGGGGGTGGGGGGGGATGGCTGTCCTGGAGGCCTTGCTGAGGCCATGGACCAGCCTGCAGGGAACTCAGGGCCAAATGATTGGAGGCCAGAGTGCCATGACAGGGAGGGGAAAGGAGGCCGTGACGGGGGCGCAGGAGGCGAGCAGGCATGGGTGTCCTGGAAGGACCGTCGTGGAGCATGTTGTTGACATTCCTCCTGGAGCTCAGCCAGGTTTGGGGCCCTCGCCTTCCAGGGGGACGTCCGTCTGGCTGTCGGATTCAACCAGGGGGTTCCACACTGGTAGATGAGTTCAACTATTTTTAATAAAATCAGGATGCCTTAATTGTAGTTGGCTTTCGAACTTCACTTTGAATCTAGGGGAGAAACAACACAATGTTGGAATTGAGCCTCCTTCCAATGTCTCTGTTTCCTGCTCCGGCCTTGGGGTCTGACACAGCAGCTGAGCCCAGTTGGGTTTCCTCACAAAATAAGACCGAAAGCAGGGCAGTAATGGAGCCTGCATGCGGTGGGAACTGTAAAGAGCTCTGTAAACGGTACCTCACAGGCAGATGCCGCGGCTCCCGCGCTGCCTCGGGGCCAGCCCTCCCCAGCAGCCGCACTGGGCTGGGAAGAGGGCACGGGGCCCCTCCCCGCGGGGCTCCTGACTGGGCTGGGGTGCTGGCCTGTGGCAGGTGAGGCCCGGAGCAGAGGGAGAGCTGGGATAGCCCAGCTCTTAAGCTCTGTTCCCAGGAAGATGACCCCTGCCCAGCTGGCCCCTCGGAGACCGCTCTTCCTGCACAGAATGAATTTTAATGCACACACAGTTTTATCTGTGTAGCTCCTCAGTCAAACCTAAACTACAGCCCTTGGCCACAGGAGACCAGACCGGGAAGAGGACGTGTGGACCCCGAGCTGCAGGCTGATGCGCTAGGCCTTAAGTAGCACATGTGCCAAGTAACATGAGGGCCTCTTGGCCTGCAGGCTCGTCCCCAGTGTCGCCGCCGGTCTCCACCTCTGCGGCCACCCTGCCCTGACTCTCCTGCCACCCTGGCCCCCGCCCACATGTGAGGCCACATGACTGTTCTGTGTCCCTTCCACGTTGTCTGGATCACCGTGCAAGGTCACAGCTCCTGGAGGGCCTCCTGACGCTCCCATGGGGGCCCTGACCTGGCCCGTGCTGACCCCCAAGGAGCCTGAAGAGCCCGCGATGAAGGGACCGTCTGAGCAGCTGCAGCTGCTTCCCCTTCCCCCGCCCGCGGCGCCACAGGCGCTTCCAGGACGGGTCTTGAGGCGTCGTTCACAGGATGGCGATAGAGCAGAGTCTGCCCCCTGCAGGGTCGCCAGGAATGGAATCATGTCCTGGGGAAACCCATGGGGCCGGGCACCCTGATGGACATGCAGGAGGTGCCCCGACCTCACCTCTCACGAGAGGCCCGGCCGGTCTGTTCGGCTGCGTCACCGGGGAGAGGGGTGGCCCATCTTCCCTGAGGCGTGATGGCATTACGAACACCTGGGATATTTCAGCCATATCCAGCTCATCTCACTGATGTCTACATCTTCCATCTCTGTTTTGGGAACCCGCGGGGCCCAGTTTACCAGCACGGCCTTACACTACCCTGGGATACTGGCCCAGGTTTATGTGGTCTCTTGAAGTTATCCCAGTGGCCTGGGTGAACAGTCTCACTAATGGGATTTTCAGTGCATTTTTGCCTCATTGGGGTGAGGGATTCCACTCAGTCTGTGATTCTTAAATTCTCATGTGTGGGAACTGGAGAAAGTACATGGAAATGTGAAGCGCCAGCCCCAGTGTCCTGTGTTTGCCTTGGAAGAATCTGGGGTGAAGCCAGAACCCCTGTCTTTTGAGGGTTTCAGAAGAAGCCCACACCCAGCTCTGAACAGAGGCCAGACTGGATTTACTGCTGGTGTCATAAAGCAATGCTAGCATTTATAACTTTTTGACTTTATAAAATATGCCAGCAGATCTTATAAGTTACTCATGCTCAAGAGAATTTAATGGCTAAGCCCATAAGATTTCCAGTTGCTTAACAATGAGGCACAGAAAGGTCACTTTTTTCATGGACTGAGTGATTAATAAGGCTTTTTATTGCGTTTGTTCAGTGCTTCAGTGCGGAAATTCATGTACTTAGGGAGCCATGTGGCTCAGTCCTGTGGATTTCTGGTAGCCGAGGAAGGGCCGGTTCAGGGTTTGCTGTGGGAGTTATGGATGGGGAAGGACCTTCAGTTTTGTGGTCTGTGGGAAGAAAGTGATGGCTCCTGGAAGGTTTGTGCTTCTATTTTATTTTACTGTGCAAACCACTACAGAGCTTTCTGTTGACTTCAGTCTACAGAGGGGCAATTTTAATTGGACAGCAGACTGCAGTGCGATTGCCCGTCAGGTGATGCGCTAGAGGCCTCCCACTGAGAACCCGTGCCTTCGGAAGTGGGAACGGCTCTCCCGGGCTGGGGAAGGAGGACCTTCAGAGACCACTAGGTCTTGACTCAGGGACCCCGGGGTCTACACCTGCCATCCTCTCAGGATCCCTGTGGGTGGCCCTCAGCCAGGTTCCCGGCAGTGGGTGGCCCCGGGACTCTGGCTGATGCTGTGGGGTCAGTCTGGGGTTCGGGCATGACTGTGTCAGAATGAGGGGCTTAGGGACAATGCGCCCGTGCTAGCCCAGCCTCAGCCTCCACTGTGCCCAGGCGGGGCCCACTATGAGGTCACTGGCATTAAGACGGTACGAATGCAGCAGAGGCTCCTTGCCAGTGTCTTCCTCCAAGTGGGGCAGTGGGGGTGCCTCCCCACAAGGGCGGGGGCAGCCGGCTGGTGCCCCACTTCTGAGGACCCCCCAGAAGATTACTCCTTGAGCCTGTTTCTTGGCAATATAAAGGGCATTACATCTCTAGAGTGGAGAGTGGGCAGCCTGTGCCGAGGGTGGAGTGTCACCATGGCCACATTACTCTCTGTCCCATATGACTGATCTCATGTAGAGGTTCTGCTGGCTTAAAGGAACAACCGCCCAGCTCTGGAGGGGTCTGGCAGGGAGCCGTGGCAGCCGTGATGCTAAGAGCAGCTCCCCTCTGACGCCCACAAGCAAGGGGGTTCCTCGGCCCCACCCGACAGGGCAGGCTCAGTGCAGAGGGACTGTGGGGACGGGGGCTTGGGCCCTGATGAGAGGCGGTGCACACAATTGATTGTGGCTGTGGTTTGGCGTGCTTCCTGGGGGCAGCCCTGTCTCCCGTGCCAGGCTGTGCCCACCTGTTCCACATGCTCCGTCCAGCCTCTGCTCTAACCTCTGTCCTGGGCACCACGCCCAGGCTGCCACCCCTCTTTGAACTTCAAGGGCCATTAGCATGGGTCTCAGGAGATACGACATCTGTTCGATCGTTTGTAGATGACAGTCAGGTACAGGGGGCTTATCTTGTCTGATACGCAGATGGTCAGTTCCTGTGGGCAGGACTGATATAATACTAATTTTTTTTAAGTTTATTTTATACATCTAAAACTTGAGAAATTCTCAAACACTTGTTGAGTCAGTTACATGATAACCTCGTGCCAGAGCTGTCCCTGTGGGTGTGCATGTGTCCCTGGAGCTGGACAGGTGCCCATCCAGCTGGGCCGCATTGCAGCCACACAGCCTTCATACCTGCCTAATGCTCCTGTGGCTGAGTGTCCACCCTCGGGATCCTCCCCAGAGACCCCCATCTCCAGCTCCCGCGAGGGAGCCACACTCAGCATCCTCTTAGTCCCTGGGTGGGGCCTGGGTCCTCCTGCCCAGTAACACAGCTCATGGATGGTAGGAAAGGGCTTTGGTTTATATTATTGAAGGTAGAAACCATCCATTTAAAAATTCCATATGCTATGATGTACCAGGACAAGCATGTGTTTGTCAAAATAGTGTCTCTGCCAGGAATACTTTTAGTGTGTTGGAAAATAAGCTCGTGAGTGGGGTTTTGGTTTTGTGAGCAGCAGTGAGCCCCCCTCCCCTGTGCCCCCCGAGCGGTCCCCCTGACACGCACAGCATGCCTGACCCACCTCCCAGAGCTCTCAAGACCCAGGTCCCCTGGTGCACCGTGCACCGCCTGCACGTCCACTCTGTCTTTCCTGTCTCTCCTGCCTCCTCACAGGCTTCTTCTCCCAGCCAGGCTGAACCCCTGCAGTTCACAGTCCCCCAGAGCTCGGGACCCGGCCTTCGTACCAGACAGCCGCCCCCAGAACGTCCTCCCAGCCCTGTCGCTGGCCTGATGAACAGTCCTGTCCCAGGGCATGCAGTGCTCCGGAAGCCTCTCCCCCTGCTGGGGCAGGTGCCGCCGTCCTGTGGCCCCTCAGTGTCTCGGCATGTCCCTGGTACAGTGCTAATGTCACTTAGAATCTGCTCTCCCCTAGACCGTGGGCTTTAAGACATAGTCAATATTCGGTCAATGCTTTTAAATGGATAAAGTGCTCTTGAAATGATGTAAACTGTCCCTGGCTGTCGGCTGAGAGGCTGGAAGCAGCCACACCCTGGTAGCCATGAGCAGAGCCAGCACCCAGACGGCGGCTTCTGCTTCTGTGCCCCGGCACAGGGAGGCAGGCTGCTGGGAGAAGGGGCTGATTCTGGGGCTGGGGCAGGGGGTGCACAAGATGAGCCAGGAGCACCTTGAAGTGGCAGAAAGTAAGGAAGTGCCCATAAACCCGGAAGGAGGGAGGCTGCAGAGACCCGGGAGCTGCCGGAAGCCTCCCGCTGGCCGGAGCGGGGCCGGCCGAGCAGGCAAAACAGAGCTGCGGAGGGTCATGGCCAGAGGATGACATGAATGTCCCCGAGGCCACGGCAGTACTACAAGTGACTGAACCAAAGGGTACATGTGGAGAACGGAGGAGTATCCCTCCCAGGAGAGTTCCAGACCACGCGTGGGGATGCTCCCCTGCCGGCAGGGGCAGGGTGACCCCGGGAGGGCGGGCTGCACAGCGACTTCCCTCCCAGGAGACGGCGTGGAGAAGGGGGGAGAAGGAGACGTGCAGAGGAAAGGCCTGGCGGCCGTGGCCTCAGCAGGTGATCGAGGTCCACACCCAGAGTCCTGGGCCACGGCGGAAGTGTGGACGTGGGTCTAAGTGCGGAGGGCATCTGCTCTGTGTTCTTCCTCCAGACCCACAGCCCAGTCTGACCCTGGGACAAACCGAGACAGCCAAGTGTGGGCATCTTTCAGACCCCCGAGCAGCCCTGCTCAAAGCCGTTGGGGTCCTGGCAGCAGGGAGAGCCCGGGACACTCCCAGCCCAGAGGATCCTGGGGAGGCGGGAGACTAAACCTCCCGTGGCCTCCTGGGTGGGCTCCTAGGGCAGAAAAGACAATCAGGTGTAAACTAAAGAAATCTGAATAAAGTGTGGTCTTTGTCAGTGATCACCTGAAGTCCAGCCTACCTGCTGAGGTAGGACGCTAACGACGGGGGGAAAATGGGCAGGGCTTTGTGGTGACGTGTGATATTCCTGTAGTCTTTCCGTGAATCTGCTGCTGTTGTGAAGGGAGAGAGTTTGTTTTTAAAAAATGACCTACCTGAAAAAGGTTTAAATGTTGATTAAAAATCAACCAAGGTGTGGTAAATTCAGAGTATTTGTAAGAAATGGCCCCGTTGTGGCCTGCGGCATTCTGAAAACTTTTAGAAATACCATTTCTCCTTTGAGATGTGACATTCCCGAATACCGCAGCCCCACAGGTGTGACTGGGGCTCCAGATCCGAGGCATGTGGCCCTGGAAGATGCCCAGGGAAGAAACAGTGTCATGAGTGTAGAAGTTTAATTTTCTAATGCCCTAAGTACCGATTTACCTAGCAAGTATGACTTGTCTAACGCTTTTACACAACGCTCCGTCACTGAACCCGCACCACCACATGCTGTGCTCTCGCCGCTGATCATTTCTGCACGACCCCGGGCTCTGCATTACGTGCTGAAGTGACTCTGTTGAATATCTTTCTTCAGGTGTCAGCGTTTTCTACCTGGGAGAAAGAATTACATAAAATCGTGTTTGATCCCCGCTATCTCCTGCTAAACTCTGAGGAACGGAAGCAGGTAACATGGGCGAGGGGCGCTGGTGACACAGAGGCCAAGTGCCGCCTGGTCCTGTCAGCAGACAGCCGCCTGTCGTGGTCACTGTCTGCGGGGAAGGGTCGTGGGTGGAGGCATCTCGCGTGTGAGCCTGCAAACCAAGGCCGTCCTCGTTGCTGCGGTCCACTGGCCAGCCGGTCCTTACCTGGAAGACAGACACATTCGAAGATGAAAATGCAAATTCGGAGACTGTTGACCACATCCCGGCTGACTGTGTGAAAAGGACCTGATAGTGAAATAGAGGAGGGTTCCGGGAGCAATGACAGCATGAGTAAAGGATGGAAGTTCCAGAAAGCAGGTCCCCAGAAAGAAATACTGGGGGCCTTGAAAAAATCGTGCTGTGGCTCGTTTGCAAATCAGGTCATGGAGGCGACACTATTTCCCTAGTTAAACAGGCAGAGGTAGGGTCATGCTGGGCTGCCTGGCCAGGGGAGGCACTGGTGATGTGGGGCATCTGCCTGCCCTGCCCAGCAGGGACAGGCTGTCCTGGGAGCACGTGCCAGGAGGGCCTAAGATAAGTCCCGGAGGGTCCGGATCGTCAATCCCACCCTCTGTCATTTAGGGTGCAGAAATGATGCACCTGGGAAATGTGTCATCAAGAGCCTCGGAAGCCAGAAGAACTGTGCCAGAGACAGGACCCTGGGCCCAAGGGCCTGCATGTGCCCACTTGGTCCCTCAGACAGCAGAGCCTGGGAAGCCTGGCGAGGAGGGTGGAAGGTGAGATGTGATTTTCAATCCTGGCACAAGCTTACAAAGGTCCTTTAAGCACATGCCAAGATGGCTCAGTGACACACCAACCCAGCAGGGCCTCCGTCGTGTGGACCCCTGTCCGTTTCCATGCCACTGGCTGGTGAGGTCTTAGGCGGCATGCGGTCCTAGATCTGGGCACATTAGATTAAAGAGCTTGGACCTTTCAAGAACCTAGAATTAATGATCTTTTTGTTGCCTGACAGCTGAGTTGCATTTTCCAGAAAGAAACACATGAAAGTATGTGAAATTTGGTAACAGTGGCTCTAAAAAAAAAAGGCACAGCAGAGTACGATGAGTCTGGCCAATGCCTGTTTGTCTGTTGCTGGGGAACCTGTAGACCTCATCCCTGGCGGTACCTCACCCTTGTTGCCATATGGAATCAGTGAGTCTAGCTAGTCAGCTATGAAAACACATGCTGAGGGGTCTGCTTATTGTTGTCACAGAGCCCCTCCCTGCTGCGGAGTTGGCGAGCTGGCCGTGCCCCCTCGGGGCGAGAGCACCTGCAGACTGTGCCCCCGGCCCACCAGTCGCGGTCTGCACCGCGCTCTCACCGGGGCACAGGTGCCGTCACAGGCGATGGCCCCTGTAGAGGAAGTTGAAGAAGTAGGACCCTCCCACCCTCAAGGAAGAAGCCAATCAATGACGTGGTGCTTGAGCCCCATCTCGGGGTGACTGGAGACACAGGGGCTCGGCTTGCAGGCTGGAGTGAATGGCTCCCTGGTGTCTGGGGCATGGTCGTGGGCCCAGGGTGCACCCATGGGAGCTCGGAGTGCCCTCCCTCTGCCACCAAGGTCAGGGGGCAGGCACTGGGGTGGGGGGCCGTGCCCTCCACACACAGATCCGACTGGGACGTCAGTGCCCATAAGGAGCCCACTGTCTGGGGAAAGCCTTAAACCTCCGCACGGAGCCACCAGGGGCAAATGGAGGCCTGTCCTTCCAGGTGGCAGCTTGGCCCCGAGCCTGACAAGGAAGAGCCAGAAGCCCCTCAGCATCGTCCCAGGGCAGGGACAGAATCTGGGCACCAGCCAGCAAGCACAGTCCTGCCCACAAACAGTCGAGGGAGCAAACTCCCGCAGGATGTGGGTGGGACCTGCTGCCGTGTTCTCACCAGGAAAGCTAGGCTCCTGGTGTGCAGATGGCTGCGGCCCCCTGACTGGGGGCTGCGAAGGAGAGGGGAAGAGCCTCAGCTGGGGGTCAGGGAACCCGAATTAGGCCCGTCGCTATGGCAACACACGATGCTTCTTTCATTTCACTAGAGCCGTGAGGAGATCATGGGCAGTGGTAACAGGTCATGTCCCACTTTACATAAAACTGGTGTAATTCATTAAAGAGAGGGGACATCCTGTTACATCAAACTATGACGACATAAAGCAGCGGAGCAGGGAGAGGAAGAGAAGAATAAGGTCAGATGGGTAAACGGTTCTGGGCACACAGAGAAGCAGATCTTGCTCATGAGCTCCGACCCCAGAGCAGCCAGGGTTTCCGTCAGATTTAAAATTAATAGAACAAAAACTCTGACTAATGATGGAGCTGCATGCTTTATTTGGACAATAACTCCGCACTCACCTTTTTTATTAAATTATAAGACAGCTGGAGAGCTTGCATTACCATTTGCCTTGAAGGTGAAATAAGCCAGTCTTACTCTTACTTGAATCCCTGTGCGTGAGTTCTCCGTTTAGGTCCTAGTCGTGAGTATTTCGCTCCACCGCTGAGTCTTCAGGAGGCAAGTAGCATTTTGTATTTAATCCTGTAAAGACTTGCTGTTGCCAGAACGGATTCTAAACGGGTCTCAGGGAGAAGCACATCTGCAGCAGGGCGGGGATGGAGGCTCTCCCCGGCCCGTCTGCACGTGCCCACCTCCCAGAATGGCCGTGGCAGGAATGCAGGAGACCCCCGGGGTCATATTGTAGTATTTGCATCGGCCACTGATCGGGTGGGTGCAGGATTGCTATTTATGGCCTTACAGGGTCACGTGAGAGTGGGGGTCATTGATCTTTTTTTAATGCTTGTATGCACACCTAACTTATCTCCCATTTATTTTCTTTTACATGTTGAGGCTTGGATAGCTTAGGAACAAAACAGCTGTCTCTGCCTCCTTTTTGCTTTCATCCATAAATGATGATTTTCTGATATTAGAAAGATGATCAGTCTTAGTCTAACCAAGAGGGGGTCATTCTGTGGACTGCTGCAGAGAGGCTGCCCGGTGTGGTTGTCATGCCAGCTGCCAGTTCCTCAGGGAAACCACCCTGGTGCTGGGGCTGGATCTGCCCTCCAGACAACATCCACATGCCTTAGACTAAGGAAGGGGGTTTCCTGTTGGGTTAATCGTTGGCGGTGCCTGAGGGTCAGGTCTCCTTGTTTGTGTTCCCACCTGGATGCTCCATGACACCCCCCCCCCAGGGGAGGCTTGCCCTGGTTGCACCCCAGCCCCCAGGGAAACTGGACCACCACATTCGCAGTAGAGCTTCCCAGAGTGCAGTGTATGAAGTCAGGGAGGCTGGGCTGATTTTCTTTGCAGAAGTTGAAGTCAGTTTTGGAGACTTGAATGCCATAGGAATTGACCAGAGCAAATCGCACACCCTCATGCATCACTGGCCCTCCCCGCGGTGATGTGGGCCTCGGCTGGTCAGTGCACGGCTCTCAGCACCGCCTCTGGATGTCCCAGACACGGAACAAGCAGCACGGGAGGCACCGCGTCCACCCATCGGCTTCTACGGTGCCCCTGGGAGGGGTCTCAGATGGGGACCGTGTTTTGGACCCTGCCGTGGTGCCTGTGCACAGAGGAGCTCGTAGGAGACCGTTTTTGTGGCCACTCGGCTTCCTGGAGAGAGCCCAGTAAGGGCCAGTGCTTGGGGTTCCGGCAGCCCCCATAGCTCTGCCTCGGGGACCCCTGAGCTGTTGCGCCATCACACGAGGCTCCATCTCTCACGTGCTTTTCTTTTATGTGTGTTTTTTAAGATATTTGAGCAGTTTGTCAAGACCAGGATAAAAGAAGAGTACAAGGAGAGGAGAAGGAAACTGCTGCTAGCCAAAGAAGAGTTCAGGAAACTTCTAGAGGAATCCAAGGTGTCACCCAGGTATGGACGGACACTCTTCAGGCTAGAAGTTTACCACCTCCTGAAAGAGGGCTTGGAGTCAGCTTTGGTTAGACCCTGTGGCCTGACATGCCACACGCATCAGAAGAGTCCTCGCCAAGGCCCGCGGGAGGGAGGCCAGCCACTCCCTGTTGTCAGGCAGTGAGCCTCCCGCCGCCTCCTCTCTCGTCCAGCGTAGGGTGCTGTCTGCTGACCAGACATGCCACAGTCATTCCTTTTTTCCACCCCTCATGATTTCCAAAATGCCATCAGCCCTAACGCCCTGGCCTAACTGATCAGTAGGTGAGCCCTCGTGAGATGGCATCGAATCTCCGATCTAACGATCACAGAGTAAGAATACAAACAAACTAGACCAACCACAGCAACAGCGAAGTAAGCCCCGCCCGTGCCCGAGTGCAGACGCCTTAGCACGCGGTCCACCACCAGGCAAGCGGGCCAGGCGAGTGTGGCCGCCAGTCCCAGCTGGAATGATCAGGCATGATTTCCGTGAGGTGAAACGAGCTAATAGGAAAGTAGACGTTAGAAATTAGAAAAATATGTAAGCTTAACTCTTCTTTAACATTAGTTTTGATTGACATATACTACTTTCAGAATTACAAAATCATAACTCTTAAAAGTAAAAAAAGATAGATTTTGATGTATTTTTACTTTGAGTGGGATATTATTTTTGAATGGACATGTATGCACTATTTCTAATGATAAGGTAGGTATTTATGCATGTGTGATAAATACATAAATATATTTGTTCAAATGGACATTAATCGATGTTTGCTTTCTATGAAGACATAGGCTTCCATATTTTGATCAATAACTGGTTCATTCACTTGGTCAGTAATTGGATAATGTAATGGTTATGTGGTCCTTATAAACCTAATTATTTAAAGGACAGATACTTTCTGAATGGGAACAACAGTATACGTGCGTTATCCCCCTCACAAAATGTAAGCTAACCTAGAAAAGCAAGTGTATGTGTGACGATCTGTAAGCTGTGATTCTCTGTGGTTAAAGCGGCCGTCACGGGGACACTGGGTGCCAGCCATGTCCCCCCGTGTTCCCCACAAGGCGGCCCTGCAAGGGAGGAGGTCCCCCCCGCAGCCCAGGCCCTAGGCTGAGGCACGGCACCTGCCTGAATTCTGGTGCCACATCCTAATGGGGGCAGCGCGCTGGCCTCACCAGGTGGTCCAGAGGGTGCCGGGAGGCCCTGCACGCAGGGCCACAACTAGGGCCTGGGGTGGGAGAGGCTGGGTGGGGCGGGCAGGCCTTTCACAGTCTGGCTGGTCCTGCTGCCATTAAAGACATTCAGCTTTTAATGATACCTGACATTAGAAAAGCTATTTCGTAGTCTCTGCCTATTGGTAACATGCTAATAAGCCACCACATTCCCCTTCTATGAAGATATTAGGAAGGCAAAGGAGAAAATATTCAGATGTATCAAGAAATTTGGAAAACGATTCCACACACACAGAAGAAAATGAGTGAGAAAAATTAGAAGGAAGTGAGACGTACTCTTCTTTAAAATTAGATTTAATTGCCTGCTATTTTTAAAAAATACACACCGGGCATATATTTCTTTTATGATTGTAAAACTATTTGTTATTTCCAAAGTAGCTAATTCTGAAGCATTTCCTAAAACATTTTGAGCTCTCCTGTATGTTGTCTCCCCCCATCTCACAGGCAGCGACCGCTGTGCCAGGTGGCCGGGGGGCTCCGTGCAGGCCACCCTGAGCCTCCGCAGGGGTGGCCTCCTCAGCTCCACTGCACGCTAGTTATCTCAGGCTCTGGTGCCCGTCACTGGCCTCAGCTCCCTCCTGGGAAGGCCGTGGGAACAGGGCCCACAGGGCCAGGCCAGCCCGGCCCCCAGCCCTGCCCAGGTCTTGGGGTCGGGGCTGAGGAGAGGGGCCATGGGGACCCCCCACCAGGCTTCCGCTCAGGCTCCTCCCAAAGGCCAAGTGAGCCCCTCCTTCAGCTGCAGGTGGACATTCAGGAGCACACAGTGCCGCTGGCTCAGGTGACCTCCCCAGGCCCACTTGACCGTCCGGCTGGGCCCTCATGGCGAGGGGGCCGCGGAGCTCATTTCCCCCTCCTTTCCGGGGACGCGCCCTTTCAGAGGTGCCCTTGACGGTACACCCGCCAGCTGCAGCTGGAAATGGGTGGCTCCCATCTGGAAGTGGAGACAGGCAGTGTCTCTGAGGGACAGAAGGAAAGGGTGGGAGGAGAGAAGGAAGGTCCTGGCCTTCAGGCTGCTAGCAAGTCGCCCACACAGGCACGAGCAGCAGGGATTCATTTCTCACAGTCCTGAGCCTAGACGTCCGAGGTCAGGACGCCGGCAGGTTCGGTGTCTGTGGGAACTCCCTGGCCCCCAGGCGGCTCTGCTGGGCCTTCCCGTGGTTAGGGCCCCAGGGTGTCTTCCTGAAAGGGGACTCATTCCCATGCAGGGGGCTCACCTCCCAGAGGCCCCACCTGCAAACACCATCGCCTTGGGGTTAGGTTCTAACATACGAATTCAGGGGACACAGACCTTCAGTCCCTAGCAGTGAGGGAGGAGGGAAGGGGGAGCAGCAGAGAGGAGGTGAGCAGGCAGGACCCCTGTCACAGGGGGAGGCGCAGGCGCTGTCGGGAGACAGCCGTGAGGATGAGCGCCGATTGTTCGCCTTGTCTCCTCACAGCCACGTCAGTGTGATCCTGCTGTTAAGTTATAATAATTTTATCAACTGTCCGCAATGAAGTATAAAATCCTCTGTGAAGAGAAATGGGAGGAATGAGGCTCCTCTGGACATGGCTGGGCGCCTCCATGCAGCAGGCCCCGTCCTGCAGCGTAGCCCGCAGCTCCCCCGGGAGGGCTGCGGGGCAGGGGGAGGGGGCAGGCAGGAAATCCCCGTGGCTGCAGCTCCCCGGGGCCTGGCCCTGCTGCACCTGACGCTGTTCCTGGCTTCAAGTTCAGTCAGGCTTGGGAGAAGAGAAAGCTGTGGGGACCCAGTGCTCACGAAGGCTCCCTCTGTCCCTGCAAAGGACATCCACCCTTTCTCCTTGAACTGCTCAGGCCTGTGAGACTGGACCCCGGGCTGGGCTGGTTTCCCCGGAGTAATCTCCTGTGGGCCCCGGGCCTGCCCACCGTGGGTTCACGCAGCCAGTGTCGGGTGCTTACAGCTCACCAGCTGCCAGGCTAGCCGTTCAGGACGTCAGTGAAGAGCAGAGTGCAGGGTGGGGTTTCCACAGAGGAGGGAAGGGTCGAGTGAAACTGTGCAGTTCAGTCTTACTGAGACCACAAGTGTGCTGCAGCCCCGACAGCGGTGCGAGCCCCCGGGCCCTCTCAGAGGGGAGCTTCCCTGAAGGAGACGTGCCAGTCCTGACTTATGATGAGGGGTGAGTGAAGGGAGAAGGGAAGGGTGTGCCAGGCAGAGGGAACAGTGTATGCGAAGACCCATGGCAGGTAGGAGATAGGTGAGAGCAGGGGACAGGAAGGCCTGTGTGGCGGAAGCAGTGAGGGTAGGGGGTCGTGATGAGCTCAGTGCATCAGGGCTGAAGAGGCAGGTGAGGGCAAGCCCGCTTCCAGAAGCCGAGGTGCAGAGATGAGGGGGTGCAGGTGGGCCAGTGCAGAGGCCCAGAGCTGTTCCCTTGGGCCAGTCACCCTGCGGCAGCCCTGGGTCTGATGTCCAGACCCCACCATCTGGAGCAGTGCCGGCCTCCAGGGGAACCAGGGCCTGCCCTCTGGGGAAGGAGTCTCGGCAACCTTTCTGTGTTTCAGGACCACATTTAAGGAGTTTGCTGACAAGTATGGCCAGGATCAGAGGTTTCGACTTGTTCAGAAACGGAAGGACCAGGAGCATTTTTTCAACCAGTTCATACTTATTCTTAAGAAACGGGACAAGGAGAACAGAATCAGGCTCCGGAAAATGAGATGAGTATGTAAAAATGTGCAATAAAACGGTTCAGAGCGAAGGGGCGGCACGGTGGTGGAAGCCGGGGTGAGTGTGGGGCTCTGCACAGCCGCTGCGGCGCTCCCGGGCTCGCTCTCAGAGGATTCCTGTTTCATATTGAAGCTCTCTTTTGTACAACATTCAGATTTTGATGCATTTCTAATCGCCATGATACGTTGATCCCTTAATTGTTTTAATTATGCAAATTACTTGTAATATATACAAATTATAAACCCACAGCAGGTTTGTGACGAAGCAGACACAGGCACCATCTGTAACCATCTCAAGGTTTTCATGAGCTGATGATCTGAAAGTTCCCTGAAAACCTCTGGGAGTTCCGTGAAGTTGGGGACCCCCTACTGAAGTGTCCCTGTGTCCCTGCCTCGCCTTCTGAGTGGTGGCAATAGGCCATTCATCATTCACCACAGCGTCAACTGTGGCCGTCCTGACGCCTGGGCAGTCATCACCCACAGGTGTCTCAGGGAACTGCCTCATTGCCCGATGGGGCCTCGCGCCTGGAGCAGGGGGCTGCCCTGTCTGCGGCCCTACTTACAAAATAATTATTTTGTACAAAATCATCATATTAATATTTGAGTTATTTTTATTGTATGCCCAGAGTTTGCATGAGATTTTTCTCATCATCTTTGTATAAAAAGATTTTAAATTTTTTTTTAATTAATAAATATTTTAAACCAGTGTGATTTTTGTGGCTAAGACTTCCAACACAAGCAGCAGAACTGAGTTTCCACTAACGATGCTCTGTTTCAAGAGGTATAAATACCTTCATGATGGCACAGAAGCTCTGGGTGAGCATGCCGACTGAAAGCTCACTTTTCCACTTACCAGTTCTGGGTGGAACAATGTTTGATTAAGACCCCAGTTAATTAAATTATGAGCTTCAGGGCTAATGGAGTCTCATGCAGACACACCGTTACTGCGCTCAGCGCACAGGAACACGGCCTCCGCACCTCCTCAGTCAGTTCCAGAAATGTATTCAGACAAATGCGGGCAGGAGCAATTCCCCCTCGCTGGGGAGGCCCTGGTCCTACCACCACTACTAACAGGCCATCCATGGTGCAGGGACCTGCCCGGGCTCCTGGGCCTCTGCGGTGGGGCCGAGGAGGCCGACCCTGGAGAAGCCAGTGCCGGCTCTGGTCAGTGAGGGTCCCACCGCTGAAAGGAACCCACCTTACAGTTTGAACAGACATTTCTTGGGGAGGATCAGTGAGGTCACTCAGGGGAGTCCATCCAAGAACCTTGGGGTGGCAGATGTGGGAGCAGCGCCACCCCAGGGCTCGGAGCCCACGCCCTCTAGGGAGCAGGGCCTCCTCGGTGCATCTGCCCCAAACCCCCAGAGACGTGGGGCAGGGAAGTCAGGAGCAGGTCCTTGGGCTACAGGCGGGGAGGGAGCCTTGCTGGGCAGCTGGGCAGGGTGCTTCTGGCGACCCCTGGGGTTTGCACAGAGCAGGTGCCCCTCCCGCCACTGGCCCAGCAGGCTCATGTCTGGTGCTGCTGGAGGCTGACCACCTGACCCTAGAAAACCCAGTGACTGCCACCTGAGTGGCCCACCAGGAGCCGATCCACCCAGGAGAGCAGACACGCCCGCAGCCTTTAACTTGAAATGAAATGCCACAGGCAGGACCGGACCGAGCAGCTCGGGAGGCACAAGTAGACTAGTGTCCCCTTGGGATGGTCCCCTTGGGGACAGGCTCCGTCTCCGGGGCCATTGCTCAGCCTGACCCCCTGCCATGCTTCCTCTCCAGCAGCCGAGGGGGAGGCGCCAGCTGGGGTACCGTCTGGGTAAATGTGCCGACTCCGCGTCCCCGCACTGCGCCTGTGTCCCTGATCACCTGCTGCCGACTCGGCGCCATCACGCCCACTGAGGGTCATCTGTTTACTGTCTGGACGACGTCACCACCGCCATCTTTACCAGCATCACGCCGAAGAGTAGCAGCTACCCAGGGCTCACAAGGACAGCCTCACACCAGGAGTAGTAGCGGGAGGACACGGGGATGGAGCAGCCCTAGCCCGGTACGAGACGAAATGTGCAAAAATAGCCACTCTCGGTGCTTGGGACACACGGACGGTGTTGGCCTGTAGGAAAATTTCTAGACATTTGTGCTTTACACTCAGATGTTTGGGAACTTACATTTCAGTTAATGTAATTGTGATTTTGAATCTAAGAAAATTAAATTATTTAAAGTTGTAGGTAGGTAACGGATAGACAGTCTATACCTATGTCTGTATTCATTTGTACATTTCACTTTCATTTTAAATGCACCCAGCATGACTCAAGTTAACTCAGTAGTGACCGCTGAGCTGTTAAAATTTAGCAGAAAACTGAGAATGTGTCAGCATGGAATCCAATCAAAGGGCAAATAAGAGTGTTGGAGGGAGAGAAGGGTCGTCCTGTCACTGACCCTTGCTCTATACACTTTACTGCCGCAGCAGCCGGAGCTCCAGCACACGGCCCTGTGGTCTGGGTCCCGCCTGTCACCTGGCCTCCAGGGCACCTGCCTTGGCTAACCCCTCCCTCGTCTTGTCCCCAGTGCCACCCAGCCAATACCCGGTCCCCTGGGCCATGCCCTTCTTCCAGCTCTCCGGTGCGTCCGCGTGCCAGGTCCACTGCCCGCTGTCGCCTCCTCCTCTCTGCCTGACAGTTTTCAGCGCCATGGCGATGCCATGCCCATCACTCCCTCCCTGGCTCAGAGCCACCTGCCCAGGGCAGACGGTCCTCCGAGAGCTCCGCCTTTGCTCTGCCTGGGCACCCCGGCCTGCAGGGTGTCCTCAGGAGGGGCCGGGGCCCTGACCGGGCCTGCCAGTCTTGGGTGATCACAAAGGCATAGGAAGAAACCCATGGGCATCCGTGCCCAGCACCCCCGCTTGGTGCCTGTGATGAAGCTCTTGTCCTGCACTTGCTGTGGCCATTCTCCTGGGTTCAGCCCCTGCACGTTTTCCCTTCTCTCACAGGGTCTGCTTCGAATGCCCATCAGCGGGCGCAGGCCGCTTGTTCATTTGTCTTACTCTCCACACAGACTTTGCTTTGTTAATGTTTTTCCCATAAGATATTTAGAGTGTGAACCGGGTTCAATCTCCCGATTATTCACCAAAGGCCTTCGGGATTAATGAAGCCTTGCCCGTGCTGGGGACCATGGGTGAGAGGAGAGCAGCATCCCTCAGATGCCTGCGGGCCTCCAGAGGGCAGGCGTGGGGGTGGCCACGTGGCGGGAGAGCAGTGGTCAGGCTGGGGCATGGCACGGGGAGGGGTTCAGACAGCTGCTCGGGAGGGCAGGACTGGGGCAGAGAATTGTTTAAAGGGAATTTTAGAGATATTTGACATGGGGTGTTACCCCCTCCACTTCCTTTTTCCAAGAAACAATCTTTAACAATTGCAGTACACCTTAAAATAATGTATGTTTTCTTTAATGACCATCAAAACAATCCATGCTCATCGTAGAAAAGCAGGAGACTGTGTAGATCTGATACGACCTCTTAGACCTCTGTGAGCCCTCCCCAGCTTGGGGCAAGGCGATGTCCACTCCTCTCGGTACACGTTTTTGGCAGGTTGTATTTTCCAAAAATTCTCCCCCTGCCAACACATAATGCGTGCACACACATGTGTGCAAACATGCACGCACGTATGCACATGCATGCACTGCGCACATGCACACACACACCCCACATCCCACATGCTCTTCCCACCATGTGGCTGGCACTCCTGCCACAGGCTGGCATTGGCGGGGCCTGTGACTTCCTCCAGTAACAGTGTGATGGAAACAGGGCTGTGAGACTGGGCCAGGCTGGGACCTCGGGAGGGCACAGCCTGTCCTCACATCTTCATGTGGGACGCCCTCCCCTGGGAGCCGTGCTGTGGGGAAGCCCAGACCACTTGGAAAGACTGGGTGTGGCTGTGGTCATTAGCCCCAGCTGGGGTCTCAGGTGACAAGCAGCAGCCCTGGAGGGGTAGTAGCTGACCCCAACGGGAACACACGCCACCTCCCCCCGCCAAGCCCCACGCCAACTGCAGACTCATGAGCAAAAGTATCGTTGCTCTTGGCTGCCGTGTTTTGGGTGACTGGTGCACAGCCTTTGAGACCAGAACCAGCCCTTCCCAGATGACCCTGCCACTGTACCTACTGAGTACAGGGGTTAGTCACAGCAGATAACTTAACAAACACCTCCCCTGTGCCCGGCATTGAAATGACGGCCTTTGTCCTTGGGGGTGAATTCTGTTACTATCCTCGGGTCACAGAAGATTCTGAAGTTTGGAAGCAAAAGCATTTTACTCAAAGACACCCAGGCAGTGATGCAACCAGGACCTGCCCAGAAGTCTGTTGACATCGGAGTCTGTGCTCCACACCTCCGCTGTGATGGGCAGGAAGGCTGGTTGGTGGACTGTCTCCCTGTTGACTCTGCCTGCAGTCTGGTCAGGAGGGCTGCGGCTCTGTGGCGCTGGCGAGGCCATCCTGAGATGATGAATTGCCTGCAGCCCCTGCGCCTCACCAAGATGCTCCCAGCCTGTCGTGACCTCTGTCTGCAAACTGCACGTGAGAGCAGCTGCTCCCCACTGCGGGCACCTCTCCTCCGCCATAAAAGGTGGTGATCAAATGACTGCCGACTCATTCACCCCACTTTGCTCTGGGCCCTGCAAGAATCACCCACAACAGGGACCGTGCAGACACAGAGCTCTCGGCTGATCTCTGTTCCACCCATGCCGTCAGGTCAGCCGCCCAAACAGCGGGAAGAGCCCAGGCACGTCCCCCCAGTGGACTCCCAGCAGCCGCTCTGAAGCTGTGACACGGGCATCTGGGAGCAGCCCACATCGCTGGTGTGGGCAGGGGTGACGTGATAGTTCCTGCATTAGCAGGTTGCGCCTAAACCAGAGGGGCGTTACTTTCCACTTTGCCAATGTCCCCTGATCCTAGATTTGCCCCAGGCTGGCAAATCCATGGCCCAGGAAATCCATGGTGGCCCAAGAACGGCTGAGGTTTGCTCTGCAGAGACCATCCTGACAGGTACATTTCTCCCCGTTGAGCCCACCAGCCTCCCACTAGTCGCGGCGATCCTTCTCGGGCCACAGCCCTCCCCGCCAACACCCTAAGGTCCCATCAGCGAGCCCCAGGCTCCCCTGTCAGGATGCTGCCCCAGCCAGCACAGCCCCGCGCCAGCAGAGCTGGGCCACACAGGCGGGCCCCCAGCCAGCCACACGCTCCCCTTCAGCTCTGGGCTGGGCCTCCTGCACCTGCCCCACGCACAGCTGGACAGCCTCCAGGGGACTCTGGGGACATGGGCACTCCGGAGTTCCCGACACCCTCAGGTCTGGAGACCCCAGCAGAGGCCCTCCTTGCCCACCTGGTGGGGTCCCGGCCTGCCAGCTTTGGCAGGTCACACTGGCACAAACCAGCCTGCCAGGGGACCTGTGGCAGGACTTGCTTGTGACCAGTGGCCCTGCATGACCCTTTGCTTGCTGTCACCTAGGACCCTGGGCTCCAGGCCCTGTCTGCATGGTAAGCCTCACGCTGGCTCCTGCCAAGGCAGGTGCCCAGGGGAGAGGGTGCATGTGGGGTCAAGGGGGGTCCATGGCCCTCCAGTGCTTGTGCGACACCTGCTCATGGCCACGGGCCAGAAGGGACTG